TTGCAAGTGCAATTGTACTACCGTAAACCTCCAACTATAAACCCTGGGCTTATATTCTTTCGTAAGCGATTTTTTGATGGGCTTATATACGGGGGGGGGGTCTTATACATGGACGATCTTTTGTGTTAGTGTAATAGTGATAAACAAGTATAGTAATAGTGATAAACAAGTGCTAAACAAGCATACTATTGTAATAATAGCGATTAATAGTGGTAATAGCATAGATATGAGATATCTATGGGTAATAGTGATAAACAATAGTGATAAACAAGTGGGCTTATATTCAGGGGGAGAGCTTATAGTTGGAATGAGGTGAGCGTTAATACATGTGGTGGGCTAATACATGGGGGGCTTATATTTGGAGGTTTACGGTATACGTTTTATTCCATTGCACTTTTTGTGTTATAGAATAAATCGAATCCGTCAAAATGCTTCTCATACGAATATATTAGTCTATCTTGGTATTATTTAAAACAAATAATGAATGTTTATGAGTGCAATGGTAAAAATATTTTCATTCGGTGAAAGATGGAATGTTCCATTTAACTCGGAGCCTTGTTGAATGAAACATTCCACCTTTCACCGAATGAAAATATTTTTACCATTGCACTCATAAACATTCATTATTTGTATTAGACAGAGTAAAATAATAAAGTAGAGTGCAAGGTTAATATTGTGTGGTTATTTTGTTCATGTAACTAAAAGTTGTATTGAATTGTCTGCTTAAAAGTGTATTTTAACTTAATTCACTGTTCTTCAAATCCTTTCGCAATGCCTTAGAGTTCCTTTGTTTTTCTCTAATTTTGTATTGAGTAATATAATCTCTGGCATATGAGAATGATCTTACTTTCAAAAAAAGTTTTACAATGTTTTCTAAACACAACTTTTATGTGTCACCAGATGGAGTAACTCCAGATGATACCACAACATTATCCCACAATGATTTCACAATGGGCATGCTAATAGTTTTATAACAAATCACATCCACTGGAATATTTCTGAGGACTTCCTTTGATTTTTTAACCTCTCTACGAAAGTTTATTTCGGCCTCTTGCAAAATTCCTATGGGGTCATCTGATGGGTTGACAAGACCGCCTCTGTTTCGAGCTTGTATGAAGCTGTTATTTTCTTGCTCCGACTGGAGGCTCCTATAAGTAATCCTTGGAGTTCAGTGTTCTCTGACTCAATCTTTTTCTTTCTTGCACTCGTTAATTTCCTAACAACATATCCAACAATATAGGAAAGAGGTCCCATTTCACATGCTTCAATCTTTTCACATTCTTTTGTAGTTTTGTTGTGTTCTCAGTGGTGGTGGTGACTGAAGCATCACCTCTTCCACTTATATTATAGAATCATACTAAATGGTCTGGAATATGTATCATGTTACAAGGTTGGTAATACGAGAGTCTGCCAAATCAAGAAGAGTCGTTGACTTTAGCATTAAACCATAGAAAGATTTTTAGCAGTTTGTCTTGATTCTTGTTTTTACAAAATTTTGAGTATAAAGGCTCAACCTCGTTGAAGAGTGCTTCTGTCGCAGTAACATTTTTATAGAGGATTCTATTTCGTCTCCATACAATTTTTCGTCGATAATGTTTTGCTTTATTGTGTTAACGATCGAGTTCACTGTGTTTTTATCCAGTGGTGTTGTATTGCTACCCTCAGAGGAGCCAGAAACATCGTCGACATGTTTTGATTTTTTGTGCTTTGTCAAACCGCCTTTCGATTTACAAATCTTGTTACACATATGGCAAGGATAAACCATAAGACCAACAATCTCGTTCGACGCGTTTATCAATTCATTTTCCACCGATAGGTCATCATTTTCAACAATATCAATCGCAATATTCATGTGGAAAGCATCTTCGTCGAGTAACATTGTCAGTTCCTCGCTGCTCGACGATAGGCCAGACGGCTTTACACTCGACGTTATTTCTTCCATTTCTTCCAAAACTCCCTCAGAAGTTTCCTCCATTTCAATTTCAGCTGTATCGTACTTTTAAAAACACTTTTTTATAAGATTTTTGTTGAACGCCTTAATAATCTTAAGTACTTCGCTCGAAAGCATGCACACTATTTGACACGTGACTTTCACTTCCTTTGTGGCGCAACATATTTGCCGCCGCTCTTTGAAGTTCGGCGGCTTTCCAAACCATCCTATTTCTATTAACTGTGATTTAAATAACACACTATGTTGTTGCCTAGGATATACTATGTACATGTTTGAGGTCAAAAGTGTTATATTACAGTGTTATTTATAATCTATTTATTGCTCAACAGGAATTTGTTCCGGTGTCTACATTTCGGCAATAGTTCATTTCTAGAGTTCAAGGAGCTGAGTTTAGGATAATAAATAATTAGAAATTGTTCGTGCAGGCATAAGTTGCATCGTTTCGTTTTGTTTGAGTAGCTTTTACACTTTTTCATAATTCTCCATTTAATGGAGTATTTTACGCTAGACTCTTTCAAATGCCAGACATATTTGCACTCACTACTCTTTTCAGTCGTTTGCACTCACTACTCTTGCACTCACTACTCTTTTCAGTCGTTTGATTCTTAGTTGTTTCAGTTTTGTTTTGTTTTGTTTGTTGAGTATTGTCTTGTTATGACCAGAGACAATACAATGAACTTTAGGCATGCAGCTGTAGCTTAATTTCAAAGTGTTTCGATTAAATATCTTGTGTAGAGGTTGGTTAGGAGGGAAGGAATCGTCGATAGCTTGACGAAATTTGTATAATAATACAAATAAAACAAATAAATAAATACAACTTGGTGCAAGAAAACAACAAAATCACTCTTTGACGTTACAATGGGAAGCTTTGACGGTGCCGAAACATGTGAGTTAGTTGGCTCATATCTACTGTCAAAGCTTGCACCGTATCGGCCTCTACAGAGATGACGGTCTTGCAGCATTTAACAAAACACCGACAGAAACAAAGAACATCAAAAAACACATTTGCAAAGTCTTCAGTGATCACAATCTAAAACTTACTATCGAAGCAAACAAGAAATGCGTCAACTACCTAGACATCACACTTGACCTACGATCCGCATCATACAGGCCTTACATGAAACCCGGAAACACACCACAATACGTAAACCGCGAAAGTAACTACCCACCATCAATATTACGATCAATACCGCAAGCCATAAACAATAGACTATCCAACATATCATCGGATAAGCAATCATTTGATTCAGCCATTCCCCCATATCAAGAAGCACTACAAAAAAAAGCGGTTACGACTACAAGTTTGATTACAATCCCCAACCACTAAACGATCTAGAAGCAGAAATATAATATGGTTCAACCCCCCATACAACTCCAATGTCATCACCAACATTGGATACAAATTTCTTCAAGCTATCGACGATTCCTTCCCTCCTAACCGCCCTCTACACAAGATATTTAATCGAAACACTTTGAAATTAAGCTGCAGCTGCATGCCTAACGTTCATTGTCTTGTCTCTGGTCATACAAGACAATACTCAACAAACAAAACAAAACTGAAACAACTAAGAATCAAACGACTGAAAAGAGTAGTGAATGCAATTGCCGTAAGAAAGATTCCTGTCCTCTCCCCAGTAAATGCTTAACAAGCAGCATTGTTTATCAAGCAACTGTGACTAGAAACGATACAAAAGAGGAAAAGACCAATGTAGGGCATACAGAAGGGGAATTCAAAACAAGGTACAATGGTCACACCAGTTCCTTCAGAAACTCCAGATACAAACATGCTACTGAACTAAGTAAATATGTCTGGCATTTGAAAGAGTCTAGCGTAAAATACTAAATGGAGAATTATGAAAAAGTGTAAAAGTTACTCAAACAAAACCAAACGATGCAACTTATGCCTGCACGAAAAATTTCCAATTATTTATTATCCTAAACTCAGCTCCATGAACTCTAGAAATTAACTATTGTCAAAATGTATTAATATATATATAATTTATTGGACTTACCCTTTTTCTCCATGGTGAAGGAACTCCCTGAGGTAGCCTCGATACAGCTTTGAATGAGTCTAACCACTAAAATATAATAAAAATCAATCTTACAATTTTCGTTTTGATTGGCTGCTAGCCGGCACACCTGAAGATAGTAGTTTGCTACATGTTGATATGACATCAGCTATATGTAGAGAATAATCGAAACGCCACCAAAACCCACTTTATCAACAGCAAAAAAAAGAAAGACAATTGAGGGATTTGCCTCGGTAACTAAAAATGATTTACAAAAACTATTAGAGGACAAACAAGCGGAAACACTACACAAGCTGCAAAGACAGCATTAAGATTTTTCAGCGAGTATCTTGAATTCAAAAAGATAAGCAAAAGAGTACTTGCCAAAGTCCTAAAATCATTTTACTAAAACAATTTTGTTTGTACTTGCATACACGCGATAAAAAAATTATTGAATTCGGTTTTCTCGCGATATGGAGAATTATCAAGGGCTTGTTAACCTTACGGCTTCGAAGATAACACGATCTCTGCCTCGATAACTCTCATATAATCCAATAATGACTAACTAATGAACACTGGAACATTTCTAGAAGATGGCATGAAATATTTTTGTGTTGTATATCCTAGTCCCCCAGGCTCTTAAAAAACGGCGAAACGAAAGCGTGGCGATGCAAGAAAACGCTATATATATTCAAATGGCAACTTTAATTAATTTTTCAAGCATTTCTTAATGTCAAACAATTTCAGGAAATACCCAAACTATGTGAATGATTTCAGATTTTCACATGTTTTAAAAAAAACAATGTTCATAGAAAACTTGAATTTATAGAGCCTGAAGCTCTATAATTAGAAGGCTCTATTAACGTTTTGTATGAACCTTGTTTTCTCAAAACATGTCAAACCGGTATCGGAATGTCTATTATTGTATTTAATAAGCAACGATTGCGTATTGAACATGTTTATTTCCCAAAACGGTTTGACAGATTTTTACAACAACTAATCACATGCGAGGTTCTGATTCTGAACCTAATCAAGTATGGAAATTAGCCTCTGCAGGCATCGCCTTCAGATTATCGGGCAAAATTATCTTGAACTTGATAAAGTAGATCAACCACAAGATGCTTGTGGAGGAGGCTATATGGAAGTAAGATTCCAAATTAATTTAACTTTTAATATTCAAGAGCCTATTGAATCAAGGTAGATGTTGTAGTCCTATGGTAAATATCAACAGAGAGTTCACTGGTATTGCTTTACCTGCCGAAATCCTTTCTTACCACTTTGAGGAATGAAAGAGAATTTTATTCTTGTATCAATACCTAAATGAAATCAAAATGAACTATATTATGTTTGGACCAGTCTGCCGCGGAACTTTCTATAGCAAACATTGTATGTTCAGGTTTGAAGCAGTGTCAAAGAATGATCAGCATTTGTAACAGTCAAATGCGGACAGGCACCTTTTGAGCAATGTTATTTAGTATTATTATAATATGAGAACAACTTCAATGTCCTAATAAGATCACATAAGCAGCTTTTATTTTCAACTGCAGCTTTGAATGCAATACGAGTTTCCTATTTCAGATTTTCCTATACTATACTTGAATTCAACACATTCAAGTCTGTATTGCGAGAGTACTACCATACTGCATGGATTAAAGAACACATACGATCGTGGTGATGCACGAACTTTGGAGTACTTTAATTAATTCTGCTAGTGCACACGAGGTGAAATCGTACATGGAGAAGTCTCCATTGGTTCTCACTAATGCTATTCCTTCCATCGTTAACGACGCAGTGGTTAAATATGAACATAGTCAAAAGAACCTGGTGCGATCACTAGGAGTCCTTTATGAAGGTGGCATCTCCAGCAGAAAACAGTACAACAGGAAGCGAAATTGGGAAACTGATCAACATGGTAAGAAGCACCAAATAACGTATATGAAAGGATGCAAAGTCCCCAAGCTGATGGAATACAAAGTGAGGCAGTTTGTAAATTCAATGGATATTGGATATTGGTGAACTCAAATAGATTCCAGAAGCGAAAAAATACGGCTCTTGACAAACAGTTGGATCAACAATCAGACGATGAACTGAACAGTGGTGAGCATCCTTTGTCAGGTTGTTATAGAGACTTAGAGTCCACTTTACTTAAGCTTGCAAATCTGTACTTAGTTATAGATAATGCACGACCAGGGATGCCGGAACCACGGGTGCAGCGGGTGCAAGTGCACCCCTTGCCTTTTGCATTTTCAACTTTGTGGGTGCAGTACGGGTGCAGAATACGGGTGCAACGGGTGCACAAAGTGCCCTTTTTGCGTGAAAAATTTTCATTAAAA